GTATGCGACAGTCCTAAACGTATACTCGGTGCGCGCGGCGCGGCGCGGCGAGATGGCCGAGCGTGTGTGTGCGCGCGAGCGCGCGTCCCTGCCGCTGTGCGGCGCCGCGGGCTGACCTGGCGGGGAAAAGCTTTGGCGGCGGCGGCGCTGCTTGCGTGCTACGTGCCCGTTGCGGACCTCGGTGTCGGGCTGTCGCCCAACCTCACATTCGCGAGAGTCTCACTCCTCCCCCCCCCCCCTCCATGTTCTCCCGCTTCTAGAAGCACAGCACGCATGTGCATACACCCTCTATGTACGCGCATGTTTGCACGCTGGCTTCCTCACAACCCAACCCCTCCCTCTCTCCCTCCCTATCCCCGCCCCCCAACCCCATTCAACATCACCCCCTCTCCTCCCCGGCCCCTCCCCTCTCTCCCTCCCTCCCTACCACTCAACACCACCCCCTCTTCCTCCCGGGGCCCCACAGATTCCCCCCTCCATCTCCGGCAAGATGGAGTCCTTCTGGCTGGCTGAGACCCTCAAGTACCTCCTCCTGCTTTTTGACGATGACCCGGGGGCGCTGCCCCTGGATCAGTGGGTGTTCAATACTGAGGCCCACCCGCTGCCGGTTTGGGGGACCGAGGCCGACCGGAAGGTGTGGGGCGGGATGGGGGGGAGGCACAAAGTTGGGGACGTGCCGGTGCGCGAGAATCGGAATTGTGTGTGTGTGTGTGTGATTGTGTGCGTGTAGTGTGTGTGTGTGTGCACGCGTGCGTACTAGCGTGCGTGCTTGTGTGCGCGTGAGTGTGTGCGTGTGTGTTTGTGCGTGTGTGTGGATTGTGTGTGTGTGTGTGTGCGTGCGTGTGTGTGTGCATGCATGTGTGTATATGCAAGAGTGTGTGTGTACAGCATGCGTGTGAATCGTGTGTGTGTGTGTGTGTGTGTGTGTGTGTGTGTGAGAGACGCGACGACATTTGCGGCTGTCACGGTCAGGAGGCTATCGACCGGACACGCCGCCCTGCGCCCTTCGGGCGGCCCGCGGCCCTCCCCCCCCCTGTCCGGCCCGCAGGCGCTGCTGCAGGCGCGCGCACGGCGGCGCGCTGCCGCCCGCAACGCATGGGCCTTGCAGCAGGAGGAGTCTCTGGTAGACCGCGAAAACCGCACCATCATCGCCAGCGATGCGCAACCTGCATCGGGCGGCAAGCGGACCAACGGGCGCCGCCGCCGTCGCCGCGCCACGAAGCGCGCGGCTTGGGACATGCGGCCGCCGCCGAAGCTGGGCGCGGCGCGGCGGCCGCCACGGAGCCGGGGCGGCGGCAATGGGTCGGAGCCGTCGCCCTCGCCGGCCGCCGCCTAGCATCTGCTCAAAAAAGCCTGGGGGCCTTGGGCGGGGGTGCTCTGGGTTTCCTTTTTTGACCCGCGGCTGCCCTCATCTTTTTTGCAGCCGCTGGGCAGTGCAGAGCAAGACACATACGGGTTGCAGTTGCTTTTCGTTGGAACCTCACTTTTTTCAAGCACAACTGCCTAGGTGACCAAGGATCAGTTGTTTCAAGCACTGAATTACTTCCACCTGCCTGGTTCCCTTGACTCTGAGCTGTGTGTGTGGCATGTGAGGCGTTGCGGGCACCAACGCCGTTCAAAAACAGCAGCAAATCCAGCAACCTGCCCCCGGGCGGCTTGGCAATCCGAGCAGGAGCGCGGGCCCTTGAGCGGCGATGGATGCGCGGCGTGCGCCAAGACGCCGGCGGACGGCGTGCGGCTGCGGTTGTGCCGCGGCTGCCGCTCAGTGCGCTACTGCAGCCTGGAGTGCATGCGCAGCCGTGGCCCGGCCACCGCCAGGCATGCCAAGAGAGACAGGCAGCAGCCAGCGCGGCTGCGGCACCACAGGCTGTTATATGAAGGCAAAGCTTCCAGTGGTCTTGCACAGGTCCCACATGCATGCAATCACACATCAAGTTCACTTTGCACATTGGTGGTTCCGTGCCTTGAGCTTGGTTGTGACGATTACGTTGTACGTGTGTCTCAAATCTTGCAACAGCCTCAGTGCAATTTGTATCAGCACCTAATTGCTACCTGCAATCATGTGTTTTCCCAAACCCGGCTCATAATCAAGCTGGTCTGCTTGTAACGCAGCTGCAGCAGGTTCCACATGTAAGCATGTATATATGTGTGAGGATATTGATCTGATGTAGGTGCAGTTTGTGGACTTGACGCCGCGCTTGAGTTGGCACTGTCAAGTGACCGCCTGCCTGTAATCAGCGCCCTCTGCTGCCTTGCGCCCGCGCGGTCGGCGCACCAGCGGCCGCGCCCACTGCTGCGCCTCGAACGCCACCCGCCCCGCCACCCAGCACGCGTGCGGCGCCGCGGACGTCCAGTCCGGCACGCGCGACACGTCTGGGCCGCGGCTTTTGGCTAGCCACCCGTGGTGCGCCATCTGCCGGTGGTCGAAGCCGTGGGTCGGCCCCCGGCGGCCGGCCCTCAGCCACGGTGCTTGCCTCCTGCAGCTCCACCCAGGCCGCCACGTCCTCAGGGGCCGGCAGGGACGCGCGTCCGGACAGCAGGCTCGGAGGGACTCAGGGTATGTGTCATTGTCATCTGATTTTTGCCGTGTCCTGCGGCACGCGGCCGGCTGCGGCTGCTCTGCAGCGCGCCACCTCTGTAGCGGGTCGCAAGCAAGTATGTGCCCACGAGCCAGAACAGAAGGCGCTGCGCACAACCACAATTCTCGTCGTGCACAAGCACGCCTCGCTCCTTGGCCCGTAGACTAGCCTCCGCTGCTGCACCCCACACGCAGCCCGCCCTCCTGCGAGTGTGAGCGAGAAACACCTCCCTGCTTGAGTAATCACCATCCTATTTGCTCACGCACGCATGCTGCAGTGGGCCAATACTAGCTGACTCACCTTCGTGGTGCTGCAGGGGCTTTGAAGAACCTGCTATCTGTAGGTCCGCAGGCTGCTCATTCTTGTGCCCACGCATGCGCGCTGCTGACTGGGGTGCCTGCCCGCCTTATTTTGTCATTCGGCCAGTTGATGTGATTGGGGTTGCACCTACCCTAGCACCTGGCGTGCTGACCATTCATATCCGATGAGCTAACATCACCCAGGTGCAGACGCCACCCAGTCCGCGTAGCAAGCTTGGCTCGAGGCAATGCAGAGGCAGACCTGCTTGGCAACAGCACTACCCTTGTGCACATGCATGTGTGCATGCACACGCTTACCCCACCACTCACTCATGCACACACACACACACACACACACACACGCACGCACGCACGCACGCACGCACGCACATAAACATGCACACCGCATGGGTGCACGCGCGAACGCACGCATGCACGCACGCGCACACACACACACACACACACG